TATAATAAAGGCTGGAGATTTGGCTCTGTGGTTAAGATCGTTTGTTGCTTTTACAGAGGACCTGGGTTTGGTTCCTGGTACCCACATCGTGGCTCACAGCCATTCAAAATATCCAGAGTATCTGCAGAACCTTTTCTGATTTCTATGGGCACCGGCCATGCATGGGTGGGACGCACATACGTAGATGTAGGCAAAACACTCATCCTCATAAAATAAATAGACCTAAAAAAATATAATACATAAAATCAAAACCCAAAAAAGGATGGAAAATAAAAATTAACTGTGCTGGGAACTTGCTAAGATCAGCTGCAGGTTATACTTTTGTTACTGCACCCAGTTTATAAAGATATAGAGTTAAAGTTAATAGAGCAGTATCTAAAAAAAAAAAAATATTTAACTGACAACTGTATATCCTCACAGGGCAAAATGTGATGACATAATAGGTTACACAACATTTAAATCACACTAATTAAGATATCCATCATCTCACAAAATTGCCATCTCTTGTGACCTGTAAAAATGTACTTTTTAGCAATTTGCAGGCGTACAGGACATTGCCATTAACTATGGTCGCTGTGCCTTGCAGTGGTCACTTGAGCTTACTCTTGTCTAACGGGAGCTTGGAACACTGACCAGAATCTGCCTTTCCCAGCATCTCATATGCACAGAAAATGGGAAAACATCACCAAAACAAACAGTGTTGAATGGAAAGACAACCCAGAGGCAGCAGAATACTTTCAAATAGTTTATGGGATGTGAGAAGCAAGAGAATTCAAGGAACTAGCAGAAGCACTCCCCACCCCTCCCTGCAGAAATGGATGCCAGCCTAGAGAAAAGGCAAACAAAGCTGCTGTGCCCATTTGGTGAATTTGGTGGTTTGAATGAGAATGTCCCCCCAGAAGGATTTGAACATTTGATCCCCAGTTGGTGGCATTGTTTGGAGGAGGCCAAAGGTCAGAAGGTGTGGCCTTACTTGAGAAAGTATGTCACTCAGGGTGGGCTTTGAGAGTTTAAGGACTGCTGCTTGCTGGCATGCTTCGCCCTCCACCCCCACGGACTCCCTGTTCCACTGGAATGATAAGGTAAGTAGACCTTTCCTTCTATTAGCTGCCTTGGTCATGGTTGTTATCACAGCCACAGGGAAGTAATTAGGACCAAGTGAGACCGTGATCTTTAAGGTTCCAGACTGTGAAATTGCTGCCCTCTTTCCCACAGGCTGGTATGTCAGAGATGTACAATCTTCACACTTGTCTAGCACAGTTCCTTCTCCAGATTCCACATCCTGCTGGCTTAGGACACAAAGCCTTATCTAAGGTATCAAATGGGGCTGGAGAAGGTCCCCCTTTCTGATATGTGGACTCAGTCATTGTAGCACAGTGCCCGAAACTTGTCAACCCTAAGATGATCTGAGAGCATAGGCAAGAGGTTACCAGTGGCCAGCTAGGGAAGATAGGGGCCTAGTGTCCCCCTGCTTACCAGTGACTCTCTAAGGAATTCTAAGTGCACCTCATACCCAAACGGATCACATGATTTACTTCTTACACGGTGTAAGGGCTTGAATCTAGAAAAACTCCACCCGATCCAATAACAAACAAACAAACAAAAGGTAAAGACTTGAGCATATACTTCACAGAAAAAGATGCTGAGAGGACTCCATTCAGACAGGGCAGCCATCCACGCAGAAAGCCCCAAGGATGCTATGGAAATGAAACACTCAAACCTTCCAAAATGAAACCTGTGAGCTCGGCAGGGTGGCAGGGGAGGAGCCTGGCGTGCAAAGGCAACTGGACCCTGCATGCTGAGCATGGAAATTGAATCTAGACACACTACCACTCACAGGTGACTGAACGCAGGGGGAGACTTGGAGGTAATCACTGGAAAGTATGGCACTGGAACCCCCAAACCCAGAAATAAACAGAGCAGCTCACCGGGCAGTGGAGAGGTAGATTCAGTGTAGCACAAGCGTCTGTCTCCCCCGAAACCCAGCAAGATCTCGCCCATCTCCCTCTCTCCTCATCTTTTATTTTTGATTTTATTTATTATATTATTATCACTGTTGTCATTACTACTTTGAGACAGAGTCTGTATAATATGTAACCATATGGCTGTGTTTGAGCCCACTATGCAGACCGGCCTGGCCTCATACTCAAGAGACCTATCTGTCTCTGCCTTCCAATAGTTGGGATTAGAGGAGTGTAACCGTCACATTTAGTGAATTATTTTGTTGCTTGCTGTGACTTTCAAAAAACACATTTTAAGATTATTTTATGAGTGTTTTGCTCATATGCATGTATGTGTGTCATGTGCACCCTAGAACTGGAGTTAATGGACAGTTGTGAACTGTCATGATGATGGTGGGACTCGAACCCAGGTCCTCTGTGAGAACGAGTTCTCTTAGCCACTGAATAATCTTTTCAGCTCCAATTTTATTCATTATTATTATTATGGTGTGTGTGTGTGTGTGTGTGTGTGTGTGAGTGTGTGTGTGTTTGTGTATATGAGTGCATGGGCATACATGTCATAATGGACATGAGGAAGTCAGGGGACAACCTTTTGGGAGTCAGCTCTCTCCTCACACGTTATTGAGGTGGAATCTCTCCTGTTCCTCCTGCAGGGCAAGCTTTGGGATAGTTGGCCCAGCACTTCTGCATTTGGGCAATTTTCTTGTCTCTGTAGGGATTCCACATGCTAGCTGTTATGCATCCAGCCTTTTATGTAGGTCTCAGGGATGGAACGTGGACCATCAGATTAGCCATCTCTCCCTTCATCCCTGCATTTGTTTCTCACAGGAATTTTAAGTTCAGAGCAGAATTGAGGTGTTTAGTTCAGCCTCAGCTCTGAAGGCTATCAACACTCCCTGTAGATCTCTTAGCTAAACTTAGAACTCTTACTCTAAAGTGTAAATGAAAAAGATGCAAAAGAGTTACAACACTCTTGGAAGGAAGCTGGAGGAATCATCCCACTTGATGCTACAACAGCCACAGCAGGTTACTAAAACAGGGGGCTGTGTGCAGGGACCACTGAGATGTGAGAGAAACCAGAAACAGACCCTCCCAGATCTGAGTGAATCTGATATTGTGCCAAAGGAAGCCAGTGGGAGAGAGACAGTTCATCAGCACACAGGCTGGAGTGAATGAGCTCACAGAGGCTGTGGTGGGCCTTGTATAAATCACAGAGAAATACCCAAGACACCAATTAGAGAACAGGCAGGAGTCACAGAGGCACTTTTTTGAAGAGGTATACGGACAGAAAAACAGGCACAAGAAAAGAGGGTGCACCCCATCAGCCAGAAGAGAATGAAAACCACACAAGGTATCACCACACAGCTGAGAATGGCGAAATGAAATGCCTGGTGTTATCGCCAAAGGCTGAGAGGGTGGGGAAAGACATGTCCCTCATCCCTGACGGCAGTGACATAAGGTGTGAATGACACAGGAAACAGGCCCTGTAGGATTTAAACGTGTCCCATTCTGTGGCTGGCAAGTGCAACCTTGGGTGTCCGTGACAGAGAAATGGAAATGTACAGGCACACAACTGCCACACAATGTTTATAGCAACCTCATCTATAACAGGTCCAAACTGGCCAAATCCTGCATTAGAGCCATACTACTGATTATACTTATCAATAAAAGACAACTACTAATATAGGCAAACCTTAGCTGAATCTTCAGGACAATAAATAATAATATACTAATGATAGTGGTAATAATAATAATAAATAATAATAATAATAATAATAATAATAACCCTTGAACAATGGCATGCTGTATAACTCCATTTATGTAGTGTTTTTGAAATGATAAAACCACAGAGATGCAGAAGGTCTTAGGTGATGGGGGAGGGGCACCTATAAAAGGGCAGGTCTGTGCTGGTGTGATGCTAGACGCGTGAGCACTCAAGAGTTATATGTACACATGTTTGTATCATGGTGACATCTGCTCAGGGTTGGTAGGTGTCATCAATATAGAATTCCTGGTGTTGACATAGTACCTTGGTCATAAGCGGTGTCCTGGGGTGGCAGAGCAGGTAAACAGTCTGGTTTTATGTCAACTTGACACAAGCTAGAGTCATCAGAGAGGAAGCAGTCTCAATTGAGAAAATGCTTCCGTGAGATCCAGCTGTAAGGAATTTTCTTAATTAGTGATCAATGGAGGAGGGCCCAGCCCATTGTGGGTGGAGCCATCCCTGGGCTGGTGGTCCTGGGTTGTATAAGAAACCAGGCCGATCGAGCCATGGGAAACAATCCAGTAAGCAGCATTCCTCCATGGCCTCTGCATCAGCTCCTGTCTCCAGGTTCCTGCTCTGTGTGAGTTCCTGTCCTGACTTCCTTTGGTGATGAACAGCAATGTGGAAATGTAAGCCTTTCCTCCCCAAATTGCTTTTAGGTCATGGTGTTTTGTTGCAACAATGGAAACCCCAACTAAGACAGCAGGTTAAGGCACTAGGAGTCCCCTGTTGTGTCTTACAGGAGGGATCTCCTGTATCCTTACCTTAAAACAGAAGTTATAGTTCATGATTTTTACCCTCTGCTCTAAGAAACCGCTTGCCAATCTTGTACAGCTTGATCGAAAAGTGTAACCCCAGATATCCCAGTCATTCTCCATGGCCAGTGAGATCTTGAGTAAAATATGAGTGGATAAAGCCAAAATGATGAAAGACTCAAAGTCAGGGCACCAAGATGGTTCATCAGGCAAAGGGATTTGCCATCATGCCTGATAATCTGTGTGGTACTCAGCATCCACATGATAGAAGAGAACATTCTTCCACTAATTGTTCCTCTGATTTCAACACAAGCATTATAGCATGTGTATACCCACCAAATAAGTAAATAAATGTAACAAAAAGATTAAAAAAAACCCCAAATCAAAGCTAGGGTATACTGACAAACCACAGAGCAAAAACACTAATTAAAATCAAATCCACCAATATGAAAAAAAAAAAAAGATGAGAAAAAAAAACTACCATTGCAATGGGATTGGACCTTTGAGAAACACAAGACTGTTCAGAACCAGATGATGCTCTCTGAGCTCACCGCAGAAGGCAGGTTATCGTCTTGTGATGACTTTAGAGTGTACAGTTGGAATTAAACAAGAGTGGGTACCAACTCAGGACAGGTAATCATAAGGATGTGTTTAATTGCTTTCCAGTTGACAGCATGGTTGAGCCACAGTAGGGCACAGGGAGCTCAATTTCCTCTGGGTTCCCTCAACAACTGACTTTCCTCTCCTGTTTTGTTGGGTAAGAAAATCTGAGGTATATTACTTTTTAGTCTGCCATGTTGATTTCCTTCAGGGAGCTGGTTTGTTCAGGTTCGTGTGTGGCTGTGCTTTGCTCCGGACAGTCGTGAATGACTTAGGCCGTATTGTGCTGCTCATTCACTTTGTAATGTTCTGGGGAATGAAAAGGACTGAGCCAGGCCAGGGAGACGTGGGAGCCACAAACGGCCTTCAAGTTTACACACTTGGACCGTCTGCCCCTTGAGCGTGTGTTACGATACAGCAGCTCCGTTGTAGTTTTGTCTGTGCAGATGGTGCACATTTGGCTACAGAGCATCGCCAAGCCAAGGATGAAGCCCATCAACGCCAACAGGAGGAGGAAGAGGATAGGGACAGATGGGGACACGGTGCTGCTCGAATTCCACTCTCCCCGGGCGTAGCTGCACAAGACGGGGATGCCCAGCAGGAGCAGAACGTGGGTCGCGGTAAGTCCAATGTACATTGTGAAAAGCAAGAAGTACTTCTGGTTGTCTTCACCCACGCAGTTGTTGATCCAGGGACAGTGGTGGTCGCTCTTGCGGATGCAGCGCTTGCACACCGTACAGTGGTAAGTTCTCTTTGGTATGGCAGAGTGGCAGTCGGGACAGTAGGACACTGTGTCAGGCCCGGGCGGGTTACCCAGGGGCACAGAACCTGGGTCGGTCAGCATAGTCCGTAGATGTGACACAAGTGCCAACGAGGCCAGCAGATGGAAGATCACACCATTGGCCACTGTGTACAACATGTTGTTAGATGGTATAAGCAGGTCCCGGAATAGTATCCATCCACCGCTCAGCATCAGCGCCCATGCACCCAGGGCACACAGGATGCCAATAGGATCAAGTATGAACCAGCAGCGTCGGTTGGGGGCCTGCAGTGGGGTCTCTAGCCCGGCGCTGTGCTCAGATGTGCTGCGGTTTTGGACCCACGAGAACATTTTGAGAGTTCTCAGGCTTGTTCAAGAGCTAGCATCCTGATGGTAGACCCAGGGCCCCGGAGGAACCCCCGGAGAGAGGAGGGGGTCCTCCAGAGAGAGGAAGGTGCCTTGGCCTTCCTCTCCCACTCAGCTTGTCTGGAATTGGTTCTTGCCTCCCTGGGCAGAGCCAGGGAGGAGCAGGAGAGCTCCCTGACAGGCGGATCCTTGCAGCATTCTAGAATGTTCCCTCAGACAGGTTTATGAACACAGAAAGGGCCAAGTGTCCCTCAGGGCCTGGAAGAAGGCTGGGATGAGGAGACACCTATAGGTGCTGGCCCTTTGGTTTTGCTCTCTCCACTCTGAACAGACCTGTTGGAACCTCTTTGCTTTGGGGAAACTGAGGAAAGAGGAAGTTCAGTAAATTACCAGAGGAGACCAGGTGAGGACTCCACACCTGCTGTCTGGTCCAGAGCCTGGGCTTCTGCCCTTCTTGTTCTGGGCTGAAGGTCTACCCAGGGGAGGACTCAGGATGTTAGATGAGAGAGCAGGAGCCTCTCCTCAGACGGGGTGTTGTTGATGAATGTGACGACCCCCATGGTCTGCCAAGACAGCTCTAGGACCCCCTTGAAAATCTCCCGCAGGGGACACCTCCCTCTAGAGCCCAGGAAGCAGATCCTTCAACACTTACTGTGGAGCAAGAGTCGAGACACAGTGGAGCGCAGGTGAGGTGAGGTGTGTGTGAACGAGGGCGGTGCTGCCTGTGCGTGGCTAGGTCCAGTTAGGGAACATAGCATACAGAATGGTGGAGATACAGTGTTTGGGTCAGCATCCTCACGAAGAGCATCTGTTCAGTGTGGCCAGTATGGCAATAATATGGTTGATGTAACCCTGAAAGAAGAGTGCTTTAGGCTCACTTGGGGACAGACATGTTGGAGAGTGTTGGGGGTCTGTGGCCTCTCAGGCATGACAGCTTTTGGGAGAAGCTTCAGAGAAGATCTGGTCCAACTGCCTTTTCCTCCCACAGTCCAAATTCAGTGGTATAGGGGACAAATATGGGTGGCTGGGCTTCCGGTAGCACCACCAGGGTAGAGGGACCTGTTTGGCTGTGAACACAGCAGAGGCAGACTGGGGTGTGGGTGTTTTCCAATTGTACATACAGAGGCCAGGGTGCTTTGGACTCCCCAGTGTTCTGTGCCCTTTTGAAAAACCATTCTGTTAGGCTGTGGAGATGGTGTGTGTGTATGTGTGTGTGTGTGTGTGTGTGTGATAAACAACAGCAGGGATCATTTCTGCTGTTCCTTGTGATGTGAGGCACAAGGGCCTCATGGATCTGTGTGAGTCACTGTCACCACATCTAACAGAGGTGGGCATGCAGGGACTAGGGAACAGATTATAGCATGTACGTGAAAAGTCACTATTGTCCCCTACCCTACCCACTCAGCAGGTCACTTTGCAATATGGGGTGGCCTTGCTTTGGGCAGTGTAATTTGTGGGGTGTCGAAGCTTCTGTGAACATACATGTTACACCTGCGTACATGCAAACCATTGGAGTGCCCCACCATGTCACCCGCCTGCCTTCTGTCCATTCTGTTTCCCGCTGCTGGGAACTTTCTGAGCTTTCCCCTCCTTACACACCTTGATATCCTTGATGTCTGCTGGAAGCCATCAGCCAAGTGTTTGAGTCTGAGTCATAAAGCTGGAAATAGCTGCTCCTTTGTCCCCTACGTATGGTGACCTGTGTGGCACTTTCAGGGAACTCCGCTCTCTGGGACAGAACTGCAGAAAATCCTCTTGGAGGAGTGGTGGTGACCCTTTTGTCCATTCTAGACATTGACATTCCTGTGTCTACCTGCTAGATGTCCCATCCTAACTGTCTGGGTGCCCTGGTTGTTCCTTCTGTTTCTGCATGTTAAGTATATATAGTTGCTGTCTCTCCTCATGACTCAGTTGTGGTGTGTGGTTCCCTGTGGGTGGTACCTGAGTGTCTTGCACCCTTACTGGGTGTCTTAGTCAGGGTTTGTATTCTTTCACAAAACATCATGACCAAGAAGCAAGTTGAGGAAGAAAAGGTTTATTCAGCTTACACTTCCACATGGCTGTTCATCACAAAAGGAAGTCAGGACTGGAACTCAAGCAGGGCAGGAAGCAGGAGCTGATGCAGAGGTCATGGAGGGATGTTACTTACTGGCTTGTTTCCCCTGGCTTGCTCAGCTTGCTTTCTTATAGAACCCAGGACTACCAGCCCAGGAATGGCACCATCCACAATAGGGCCTCCCACCCTTGATCACTAATTGAGAAGATGCCTTACAGCTGTATGTCATGGAGGCATTTCCTCATTTGAGGCTCCTTCCTCTCTGATGACTAACTTGTATCAAGTTGATACACAAAACCAGCCAGTACATGCTCACACATCAATGTTAATCAAGAAAATACCCCACAGGGCAGACAGTCTGATAGAGATAGTTTCCACAGGACCGTCCGATGGAGGTATTTTCTCATCTGAGATTCTCTTTTCCCAGGTATTTTAAGTTGATAGCCAAGATTAGCCATCTGCTTCCCAGTCCCCAGCTCTTTGAGTGCCACTTAAGCCCTGCTTCTCTCCAGGTGAAACAAAAGCACACTCTCGAAGGACAGTAACTGTCACCCGGACTGCAGGTCGTCGTCCCAGAGGCTTGCTCTTATCTGGAGACTACTGTCCAAGCTGGGCCCTGGCACCTTGAGGAACTGGGAGATATGCTTGCCCACGGAGAGCACCGGGTTCATCTGGCCAGCGTTATAGTTACATCAAATGAGGTTCTGCTGTTACTGTATTATCTCTGCCAGGGTTTGGAATGAGGTCATTCTCAGCTTCAGGGGAAGGGGCTTGCTTCCTGTTTAACGCTTTGAGGGGTGTATTTCTTGTTTCCATGCTATAGAGGGGACGCTTCCTGTTTCTGTGCTTTGTCCTTGTCAGATCTCAAAGAAATTAGGGACAAGTCTCACTCAGTACCTGTGGCTCCTCCCAGCACTTATCATCCTGCCTCTTACCCTAAACCTCTCCAACCCAGGGGCTGGACTTCCCTTCCCTTTCTCCAGTTTCTGAGCCTATATGGTCATTTGGCCACATGCTCTTTTGGTTCTTCTCTTGGTCCCCTTTTCTTCCTCCTCCTCCTCCTCCTCCTCCTCCTCCTCCTCCTCCTCCTCCTCCTC